TCATGCATGACTTTTCATGATTTCTATAAAGACAAGAATGCAAAGGGATAGGGACAGATTACACAACTAGTTACATTTTACCAGGCTGTTTGAATCCTGAGGAAGTGTTCCTAAGAGCAGGGGATCTTCTCCCAATCATATGCCATTGCTAAAAAATTCACTTCAGATTGACACCTTTGACATATACCAAACTCACTACTTTTACCCATCTTTCATTGAAATCCTGGGTCAGTCTTTGCATGTCACATCTTAGCTTCACTTTGAAGCTAATGCTTGAATCATGCAATCAAGTTATTGTGAGAGTAGATATCCATGTACCCTATGTTTTTCACACAGCCATTCTACAACCAGATCATTCAGCTGTATACAACCATTTTCTAAGATCAATGGTTAAAAATGGCTTTGAGCAAATGAAACATATAGGTCTTGATGAGGGATCATCCTTCTTTGAACCTCATGAACTGATGCTGCATATTCACAAACAAAGAACTGTATCAAATAACAGAAACCACATCACTTGAGAACTATCAATAACTAAAATGGACAGTACAGGTAACTCAAAAAGAAAATAACAACATAATCACGATGTTGACATTCCATACTAATTCAAACAAGATGTTAGGAAGGAAACTCCCAGCAATACTAAAAAGAGTGACAACAGTGAACTTGTGAAACCTATTTTTGTGAAAACTGTTTTAAGAGAAAGATTTAAAAAATTTCATCTGACAATAATGCTAATTCCCTGTTCAATGAATGCCAAATGTTTCCTTAGAGGAAGTGGTTATTATTACCATTATCATTCTAACTACTGCCAATAGTGAATGGAATATCATACATATCATGTCCACTCACTGAGAGGTCAGATTGTCACATACATAGATGACATTCAGAGTCATGTAATTTTTCAGCTCCATGTAAACAACTGACCTCCTCCCCCATAATCACTCTGGGACTGGGGGTGGGGTCCACTGTGGTATGTTTGGATCAGTAATCATGGCTACCTAAGTTTAAGATAAAACAGATTTAAAACCAGCATTCGTCTATCTCCAACCCAATTTTGGCCTTGTACTACATGTTTGTATTTTCAAAATAAATATTACTTTCTTCTATGGTATCTAGACTTTATGAATTTAAGCATAGTACTACATAGATTAATGGAAAGTTCCTATTATTTTACAGCTGAAATTGCTAGATGTAATCATAAATTCTATGCTAATAGTTTCTTCTATCACACTTCTTTGTTGTAGAACTCTTCTAACTTCTTGATTTCCTGTCAACTTTGATCTTCATAAATTTAAACTCAATGTCTAGCATTATCTTCTATTTTCTTACTTTCTTGTTCTTTTATTGTTCTCTCTCCTTAATAGTTTTATTTCTCATATTCTCTAACAATCAGTAACCCTTGTGTGTAATTAAGTAAATCAATAGTAATATGGCAAAAAGTTCACAAGAATGGTATTAACATGCAAAAGGGATACAGTTGAGCGATTGTAGCTTTCTAACTTTAAGACAAGAAAAAAACAAAAATATCGCAGATGAGACCAAGATGTTGTCTCTTTTATTGGCTAGAAAGAAATCTCAGTATGCATCTCTATGATTTGCCTATAAATTTGGAGAGGGAGACTTTTTGCAGTCATTTCCATAAGGATTGGAACCAACATGACTTTTACACTGGATTCTCAGTCATTATTTGATTCAGGAATGCAAGCCTCAAGCTCCCCTTGTTACCGACTAGGTATGGCAAACTCTATCTTCCATTGTACAGGCACAGCTTCCTAAGCCCCATCAGTCATCACCTTTCCTAGAACACTGTAGAGAGGAGTTGCAGAAATCTTTTAGTATCTTAGCCATAATGGGAAGAACAGACTATTATGATTAAGAGTAGATGTATATGACACATACCTTTGATCTGCCATTCAGGGACAAACATCTACATTGAGGGTTGTAATTCTGCCCAGTCTTTCTTGAGCTGGAGGTTAGGGCTAAACCATCTAAGATGCAAGACGGGTCCATCTGTTTAGCTGAAAGCTCACAGAAAGCCCTTACTCTCTTAGCTCAGGACTACAGACTTGGATCTATTTATTCTAACCACTATCCCATACTCATTGTGCCAAATTACCAAGATTACCTGGAGGTTAGATACACAGACAGTAACACTATCTTCTAAGAGACCAATTCCCTGGATTGGAGAATATCCTGGTTCCCACTTCTAGTGGGCAACAGAAAGATTACAGATTTATCCCACAATTAATTACCATGGCTTCCATAGTAAATATGGCTCATGAAGGTGAGACAGTTGAGTAGTGGAAACCAAGAGTGTTATAAATAGAAACTAGAACAATATGATGGAATAAAACTATTAATAAAATAATACTAATAATGAGTGTATTGAATCAGAGTGTTGAGATAAATAACAATACTTTTATGGTAATTGTTCTGATGAACTTTCCTTTATGGTACCTTGAGTTTATGAATTAAGGGCAGTACTAGATTGGCAGCAAGGTTTGATTATTTCATAGTTGAAATGGCTACATGTAACAGTAAGTTCTATGCTAACTCTTTCTTTTGGCCTCTTGCTTATCATCCTCAAAAATCGAAATGCAATGTCAATCGTTATCTACTATTTTCTTAATTATTTTTCTTTCATTGTTCTCTCTCCTTTATAGCATATATATATATATATATTCTGTAACACTCAGTACCCCCCCCCATGTCTTAGCGGCTTTAGTGCCTTGCTTGGAGTGAAATGATTAAAAAACAGGAAGATTTCATTAGAAATAAAGAAAAGAGTGCTGAAATGCTATGTAATATCAATCTTCCTAAATGGCAGTGAATGCTGGACAATTTTCCCACAGATGATGCAAGACTTGAGGCAAGAGAAATGTGGTTCTATAGAAGGATTTTGAGAATACCATGGATGAAATATATGAACAACAAGGAATTTTTAAGGCAAATGGAAACAAAAAGGATATTTACATATAAAATCAGAAAGAGAGAGTTGAAATTTTAGGGTCACATAATGAGGGAAGAAGGTCTGGCAAATTTGACACTCACAGGACATTAAAAGTGAGAGGGTAAACAGCAAGTAATTGACCTAACAAACTCATATAAATGGATGTCACAACAGGGAGTGGGAGAGAAAGTGAAACATCGCAAAAGCTACAAAGTATAGGAAGTTGTGGAGAACTATAATCGACCAGGTCATGAAGGGATACAGCACATTGAAAAAGAAGAAAGAAAAAATTTTACTATTTTAACAGGGCTCGTACTACCATGTTGGTATGTAAGTAGAATAAGAGAGAGAGAGTTGGCATGAATTCAATTACATGCCCTACAACAAAAATCAACCCATCAAATGTAGTAGTAAGAAGAACAAGTCTTGAGGAATATAAAAATGCCAAATCGACAGGTAAAAGAATGCAGTTATGGTTGGTCTAAGATATGTGTTGCTCTACTAATACTAAAATCTGTATATTTGTTACTTTGGAATAACCTCCTTGTATATCATGGAATCTATATATAGTGGTATTTAAGATTGTGAAATTGGAGGAAACTTCAAGAAAATATCTATGAAAGAGTTTCAGTAAAACATTAATAAAAATAAAATAATAGTATAAATATTAATTCAAATATAGTCATTAAAAATATCACTGAAAAACATACTTATCAAATTGTCTTAACCTAAAAATTTATAAGGATTAGATTATAATACTGTTCAATTTTAAAGATTGCATTTAAAAAATGAAGAAAAACTATATTATTTTATTCTACAAATCATTGAAATAGTCTTTTTATTATAATTTGCAGCAATAAGAAAATTCTAAGATCTTTGTGCAGACTAAAGTACTTATAAAATTCATTTGTAGAAAACTGATATCAGGTTGAAAGATTATTCATAATGATTGTTGCCTAGCCAAGTTATTTTATCTCAGCAAATATGGCAAATATTAAGTCAGAATGAGGCTAATTTTTTTTACTTTCATAATCAATGAAAATTTTAATATCAGTATTTCATATTAAAAATACTGAAAATTATATTTTCCATTGTCGATACTTATTCCCGTCAATTTTACCAACTATTAATACGCCAAGTTCTATAAAGTAAGTGGCAGTGTTCCAGTATTAGTTGCACAAATTTAGTTTAGTTGTTTGGCAAAATTACAAGAAAAGCTTCTAATATCTGCTGTCAAGAAAAGTGTGATTAATTTTGTACTGAAGTCTTTAGCAAAATTATTTTCATGAAGGTATGTCAATATAAAACAATTATTACTGAAAAAGTAAAAATTAAAAATACATTTTCATTAAAATTAAATTGTTTAAATAAAATTCAAAAAATGAAATGCATTCAGTATAAAAAAAGATGGAATGAGTCCTTTACAACAACTGGACCACAAGGGTGGAGTTTAATTACTTCAGGTATGGAAAATAAACAAAATAAGAATGAATCGTATAAAAAACGAAAATGGAGGCAAAATGGAAATAATTCATTTTAATCTAAAATGTTATTTTATTGGTCAAGCAACAGCCAATCATAACTAGGATAACATTTCTACTTTCCCCTCCTTATTTTCTAATGTTTTCCAAAAATAAACATTACATAGTAGTAGTGCCAGCTAGTCATTGATATACTAAAACAAACCACTTCATTCTCTTTTTTTTTTTTTTTTTAGATTCATTTCACCTGGCCCATTAGGGCTCTGAGGAAAGTGTTCTGTTAATTATTAATATATATACATATATATTGTATGTATGTAAAATCAATACATCAATAGACAGATTGATAAAAAAAAGTTCAAAAATGAAAGATTAGACAAACAGAATGAAAGAAAAATGCAAAATGATTTCGTCATCTTTCCAATGTTAGAAAAAAAAAGAATTTTACAAAGAACAATTAATATGACCATAAAAATCTGTAGCATTGCAAAGACATGTCAAGATGGAGAACTCACTTCTTATTAGGCAGATACGACATTCCAAAACAACTAAAAATAATTACCCACCTCTAAATTGAAGAATTTTGCACAGAAAATAGACAGTTTCTCTGAATTCATCTCCTCCTGGCATACGTTTACCTTCTCTGTTTGTTAATCGTCCTGAATGTCATAGCAGTGCCTAACAACTTATCAGATTAGTTGCTATCAAATCCGCCAATCCAATGTTTACCACTTGCCACAGAAGAAAATGTAGAACTGCCTTTACTCCTGCCTACTTTCATGTATGTGATTCCAGGCATTGTCACCATTTTCTTTTTGGCTTCAGTGCCAAAGTGTCAAAATAATATCCCAGGTTAATTTTTTCCTCTATACAAGTGAGCAAGCTGAGCAACTCTTATTTATTCTTAGCAAAATATTCTGGAGGGGATTGCAATTTGTACATTTTTCCTCATATTTTATTCTTAGCAAAATATTGAAAAGATCTGAGTTGGACATTTTTTTTCTCATCTTATTCTTAACAAAATATTAATGAAAGGATGTGAAATTGTAAATTTTTAATCATTTTATTCTTATTGAAATATCTTTCAACAGATCTGAATGGACTTTTTCCTTTTTTTTTTTTATACCTAGCAAAATATTATTGAAAGGATCTGATTTTCACTCATTTTTTTTCTAATATTTTCAGCCAAACTGTAAGTAAAGTTTTCTTTTATTAATTATTAAAAAAAACTACAAAAATAGGTACTTCCAAAACTTTTCTAAAAAGAGCATGCCACGATAAAAAAAGGCCCTAAACTTGATAAAAACAGTTTTATCGTCAAAATGTTTGTTGTTATTAAGAGGAAAGAGAAATTATTTTTTTGTTTTTCTTGTGTCAGTGGGTGGACCAAATATTAGTATAGGTAATTTTAGCATCTTTTTTGGTGTTAAAAACTCATTGTTTTGGAAATTCTTGCAAAAATCAAATAATAGTCAGGTTTTAATTAAATTTTCAGCACTTATTCACAAATGAATGAAATTATGTTTGAAATTTTTTCTTTTTAGAAAATATTGGTAAAAATATTTTTTTTAACATTTATTACCCCTATTTGCTTAATTTTATAGAATTTTGAGAAATTTAAATTTCAGTCTCTTCATATTTATATTAGTTAAAAGCAGGACTCCTTGAAGAATTTAAATCATCAATTTGTTTTTATCAAACAGAAACATTAACAAAAAATTTGTTCTGAATCATAAAATAAAAATATGATATTATTTAATTAGAAAAGCTTTTAATTGTACCAATATTTTTAAAAGAATTATGAATTTTTTTTGTACTTGTATGTCTCAATTCTTATAAGTACAGGTGACCATACACAACATTATCAGAATATAAAAGCAATAACTATTATAAATTTAAAGTCAATATTTCTAAAATTCAATAAAACAGTTTATGGAAAATATTTTCCCAAATTTTTAAGATTACTGAGTACTTAAAAATTAAATAAAAATAAGGCACTCACAGCATTTTATTCAGTTATATTTTACAAATATAGTATTTATAGAGCAACATTAAACCTGTCATCAGTCTGTCAAAACAGCTACTGTCAGGTCAAAAACACAGCTACTGTAGAGTTAAAAAATGCATTTTTGTGATATTTTAAGCAAAGCAAATAATATTTGTTTCAAATCAGATTAATTATACTTTAAATCAGCTCAAAGTTTCAGCAAAGTATATCTTATTTTTGGAAGATTTTTTAATAAAGAGAATTACATTGTGATGAAAGATGGCAAAAAAAAGGTAACTAATTAGTTATGTTATAAAAAAACCCAAAACCAAAACTCCTTCCAGTCAATTTAAATTAGTTTTGGAAAAAGTAAAGTATATTGATTATTGGGAATATTAAATTTATTCTATTAGCTTGAAATTAAAAGGAAAGTTTTGTTTATACTATTTTGTTATCTCAAATATTGTATAAATTAAATTGATACAGATTTTAGTGCAATTTAATACCATGATTTACTCAAAAACAGTATTAGTGTTTCAGGAAAATTTTTTTCAAACAAATTCATTTTCTTTCATCTGAGCTCTGTTTATAATCCATAAGGAAAAAAAAAAAGATTGTTATAAAAGAGTTAGCCATGGTTAAAGTGTCATCCTAAGACTCTGAGAACTGGACCATTAAACATGGGTACACCACCGAGTGTAGGCGGCGGTGAAAGATGTTACATTATTTGGTACCAGTGACCAAGGATGTGACCCTGTTGCAAGGGGGTGTTATAAGCACCAATGTCCTTAAATAACATGAAATATAGTAGAATAAAAAGATTGTTTTTGCATCTGATGAAGGCTGAAGAATGGATCATCCAAAGTATTGTGATAACAACATCAAAAACACAAAGGAAATTGAAATGGATTTCATTTGTTCCAGGTATTGATTAAATTAATTTGTTTTTTATGGCTTATCAACCTTTTGTGGGTTATTTAAAGCCAAAAGATACTTTTGGATTTTAAGAATAGTTCTTTTTTTGTGAATGAATATTGTATTAACAATATATATATATATATATATATATATATATATATATATATATATACAGAGAGAGAGAGAGAGACAGACAGAGAGAGAAGTAAACATTCTGTTTTTTTTTTTTCTAATAGTGAAATTATTGTCCATTCGCCTAGACATAGCAAGTCTGATTAAAGAAAATGTACAACACAGCATAGATTGAACCTGCATTCCCTTATCTAAGTAATAGATATTTTTGCAAAGCATACTTTAACATTTGACCAGAGAGGTCTGTACAGTAAAGCCATTTACTGTTAAACCTCAAATGGAACTCATATATATGATCCATTGCTAAAAATACAGGGAAAAATGATCAGTTCCCTGTATTACTCCAGTAAGTACCTGATTCTTCCTGCTATCTTCTACTTGCACAATAATTATATCAGGCCAAAAATGAAGTACTGCTGCCATTTACACCCTCCCTCAGTCTTTTGAACAGGAGTAGAGGTTTATCCCTTGTATCCTGTTTAGGATTGGGATTCCAGTTCCTTCTAAAGTATTCTCATTTTCTTTCACTCCCAGTAGCCCCTTGCTTGAGATGAATTATATATATATATATATATATATATATATATATATATATATATATATATATATATTAATTAATGTATATTTAGGTAGCAACCTTTCTTTTAAACATGTATTGTTGAATATGACAGACAAGAAAAATTTGATTAATTTTTATTTAGTTTTTCCAACATACTTAAATTTTTTGTTTGATGTGAGTAAAAATATATATGAACAGGAGCTGCTCATTCTTCAATTTCCAGTGTCTCCACGTCCTTGTGGGTGATGAATTATTTCCCACCTTAATCTCCCTTTCTCATGGACAAAACATTGCAAACCTCTCACTGCTTTATCGCCATTTCCATGGAAAGTGTTCAGACGAATTACATTCCTTAGTTCCACCAGTTCTAACCTTCATGGCTAAGACCCACCATGCTACACACATTGTAGTGAACCAATCTCATTCCCTTTTATATTCCACTGGTGAGGTGTAAGTTCCATTCTAGCAGCTTCTTCCCACAAACTGCTGCTTTGCGAAATTGACTCTCAAGAGAATGCTACACCGATCAATACAATATTAACCTGTTCAAGTCTAGGTTTAACAGTTATCTTCCCCACATATTTATGAACTGAACCTTTTACTCTGTAGCCTTCTACCTTGAGTTGCTCTTGGGCCTTGGTAAAGGATGCACATCATTGTGAAAAAAAAAAGACTACACTAGTTACATTATTCGGACTCATCTTGTCGCTATATTTATTACAACGTTTCAGCCCTTGTATACTCTGGCCTTCTTCAGGTTGTTGGAATGTCGAACTGAACCCTTTATTTCAATCGTTAGGGTAACCTGTCCTAGTTCCACGTGCCATGTTTAATGGATGTCAGTTATCAGTCATCTCCTGTTAATTCCCCTCTCCAATTCTCCACTACCTTAACCGGGTATTGAACTCACACTCTTTAGGTCCTGTCACTGGATCCTCAACTTGGAGTGTAAATAGTGTGCATAATACCTCATCTCAGAAATATAGACAGAAAAAGACTAGGTTGGAAAAGTTATTCAAAATATGCTTTTGGGAATGAAAAGGAGTGCGTTGTTAGAATAGAGACAGATTGGAAAATTTAAATAAATTGGGGGGGGTAAGAGTAACAGTGGCAAGGTTAGAAGAAAAATATAAAAATTGAAATAACCAAGCAATGTCGTCTCTTCTAGATACCAGTGTAATCAGATCACTGAGACTTTTTCTTTGGGACAAAATTTTTAACAGTAGAGAAGAGATCCACTCAGCAATATCAGAATTCCTTTCATCCAAAATCCTAAATTCTTTTAACAAAAAATAAAAGAATTAGTTTTTTTGTAACCTTTTGTCCCTGACAATAAGAATTATGTGGTAAAGAAATGATTTTAATTTGTGTTCCATTTGAACAGTTTTTTTTATTACTTTTTTAAGAATGTGACTACTTTTTGAACAACCTAATATAACTGGAGTGGTTCATTTCAAGCATCAATCCTTTGTTTATTAACTTTTCTTTTCTAAAACATAGATGACATGTTTGAGACATTACCAAGCAACTGACACTAGTTATATATATATATATATATATATATATATGAGAAGTAGAGAAATATGTTGTTTAAACTACATGACATCCTTATTAAGACAGACATGAATAAAAAAAAAAAAAAAAATACTTCACCCTACCTCAAGAAAAAGCCATTGTCATTAATGTTATAAAGTCAATAGTTACTTCAGTGGTCTTATGACACACTCTAAACCCATTTGGGGATTGAGTGGCTAACAGACACACCAGAAATGTATTTGACTTAAGAGAAAAATTAACTACAAAAATTAAAGTGAATTCAGTAAAGCAATTCAGTATTAAATAGTTTATTTTATATTTTTCAGTTTTGTAAATATTTTTTTCAAAACTCACAAGTTGCAATGATTTTTATTTTTTAATTATTTCACTCCAAGTAAGGTGATAATGCCACTAGGGCACAACAGTTTACAGGGAATGAAAGAGAATGAGAAGACTTTAGTAAAGTGAAGTGAGGGAAATGACAATAAAGGAACAGATCTCAAGAAGACAAAAGATGGTGACTGACATTGCATTAACAATTTTGAAGATTGTAGGTGGCAGGGAAACAAGAAATCAGAGAGAGTTCCACAGATGGGAAGTGTGAGAATAGAAAAGATGGTTGCATCTAACTAGTTCAACAGTAAAACAGTGAGACCAATCTAGTAGCATGCTTAGATTCAAGCAGTCAGGGTTTGAACATGCATTCCCTATTTGTAGGAGAAAACGCTGTTTGATCCAGCATGCCTTAGCCTGCTCCTGCTCCAGCCCCAAACAGGATGCATACAGCTGTCATCAAGGTCCATGACACTCTTGCTTGTGAACTTCACAACATCATGCTAAAAGTGACAGTGCTGACAAACTCCAAAGAGATCGCTTCAGACTACGGCAACACCATCTATAGTAAGGAACAAATTTTATCTTTTGTATCCTCTATACTAGGAACCACACACACGTCAACTTTTTCACACAAACACACATAACAACATTCCATTGTTTCTCACATATGTACACAAAGAGAATTTATATACTTTATTTCAGAATTTTATTAACCCAAACAAAAAGACATTACTTTCCAATCTATGACCAACTGTTTGTATTCTTGTTAAAGTTCATTTGTTGAAACTATGTTCTTTTCTACTGAATTTTATTCTTTCAATGAAAATTATTTGATTATTCTAGACAGATGAATTATGTGCAGCCCCACAACAATATTTTATGTTATTGTATCATCAAATCCCAACAATCCGAATTTTGACATTCCAAGCTCTTATTGTTCAACTTTTTTCAAACTGACAATTTTTTAATGTTGAAAGCAACTTCAATAACTGCAAATAAATGTATTTTTAAAATATCTCTACTTTCACAAACTCTTCATGAAATTAAATGTAAACAGTAAAGACAAGGTTGACCCAAGGGGTCATACGTGGTCTTATATATATATATATATATATATATATATATATATATAAAATAAAACTGTATTAACCTTCAGTGGAGAAGAGGCTAAAGAGAAATGGAATTGTTTCATAATAGAATGAGTTGGGGTTTAATGTATATGTATTAAAAACATGATGTGGCCAAGTGGTTAGAACATTAATATTCTAACCAAGGAAAACTGGGTTCAAATTTCATCATGGTCAATTTGTTAAGGAGGTGACTTTTTTATAATATCAACTTTTTGGTGACGATCCCAGTATGCAGAACAGTTGAAAAAGTGCCTGAAAGCCATGCCACTGGAATTGGGTAGAAAAAAAAATGTTCTGAAACTGCTGATAGTTTATGAAGTCACTAGACATCATGGCTGAAGGTTTGATATTTTATTGTATTATATTGTTTTTTTTTTATGGATATCAACCCTTTGTGGGTTATTTGAAGTTGAAACATATTTTGGATTGTAAGAATAATTTTTTTTTACGAGTGAATATTGCATTAACAGTTTCTTGAAGATAACATGATTTTTCCAAAATACTATTTAATCCATACATAGAGGAGGAAATGGATTCATAACTTTCCTAAGGGTATTTGCATGTAAATGAATGTAATGAACCACTGAAGGTTCAAGTGTACTGGGCTTGTTTAAAACTGTTGATCATGCCAGATTGTGTACGCTCTCTCTCTCAGGAACTTTAAGGTCTGCTCAGTGTAACTGCTGCAGATTGGCTCTGTTGGTGTTGAAAAACGTGTCTGCACAGGCATTTGCAACAGGGATTAGGTAGCCCCCCCACCGCCAGCAGACAGCAGGTGGAGATGAGCCATTATTACTATTACTTTATTTATATTTAGAGCAAAACTGTTCATTGTAATTGACTTTAAACCAAATTACAAAAGTATAAATATTCAACTCACAAGACTGAAGAATTTTAGTCACTGTAACCTTTCATGTGTTAATGCACTCCATAAGTGGCCCAGGCTTGATGATATGATTTTATTGAGTCACTAACTCTAGAATGGTTACCACCCAAAGCTAGTAAGCCAGTCTGTTCCACTATTTAACCTATAGCTAGAGGGAGAAAAGATGGATTTATACCTTTCCAAAGGTTAATTGATTGATTCATTTTCTAAGGCTTATCAACCCCTTACAGGTTATTTAAAACCAGAAAATATTCTTTTTTTAAATAAATGGTGTAGTGATACATATTTTAGTAATTAACCCATAGCAGGAGGAGAAGAGGTGGGTCATATGTTTCCCAAGAGTATTTGCATGTAAGTGAATATAATGAATCCAACAAGAATTAGAACTCAACTCATCCAATTAACAATTCCCAATTATCCATTACACCATGTACACATCCAAACTTACTGCACCAGGTATTCCCAAACAGTCACTCATCTTGGTACTGATGAGGCTTGATGTTGCTTAACTTTGGTGATCATATGAGAATTGGTGTTTCAACATAATATTGCTATAAGACCCCTTCCCTAAGGCTATTTGCATGTAAATGAATGCAACAAATTTGGCTCTCCAATTTCTCTCCACACACCATTGTACCATCCTTTTATTTTACTTTAAAAAATCATTGTACAACAGACCACCTCCTAAATTATGTTTTGGTTTGACGGTTGGGTTTTAACATTTTTAATAGTATATTATATTGTCAGCATATAAGTAAAACTTTTGTCTGACAATAATTTATTAAGGAATGGCTAACTTGTCCACTTCATCCTTTGACTGAAAGGACATTTCACTAGCTTACTTGACAAGAAAGGTCACCTGTGAACAATAAACAATCATGTCCAATATATTGTCATAGAAATGGTGATAACAGTTGACGATATCAATTATATTATGCAGGCAGTAACAATAATGAGCAAATCTTTTACTGCTGCTCTCTGAACAAGTCAGGCAGTATTTGTTATTATACTAAAATTCACTCAATGCAAGGTTAGTGAGCCATTCAAGGTAGAGAGTTATTCTTAAAATGGTAATAGTGAATGAGGTGTGTAATATGAAGAGGCTCAGTAAGGATATGACTGTCATTTTCCAATTCTAAGGGACTTATGGCCATAACATTTTGAAAGACCAGTTCTTGTATGATCACTGAAATTAAGCAATGTTGATACTGGTCAGTGTCTAGATGGGTAACTGCTTGGGAATATCAGGTGCTATAAGCTTGGATGTGAAGGTGGTGTTATGGATAAAGACTTTGAATTGGAAATCAGAGAGCCAAGTTCCAATTCCAGTCAGGTTTGTTATATTTACTTATGTACAAATACTCTTTAGATATGAATTCACCTCTACTTACCCCATTTATGGGTTAATTAGTAGGTTTTGTATCAGCAAATCATCTTCTTTGCACAAAAATTCTTATAATCTAAAAATATTTTCTAGTTTTAAATAATCTGCAAAAAGTTGACAGGCCATAAAAACAAATCAATCTATATATCCATTTCATAAAATTAAAAAAAAATATTTTTCTTAGAAAGCTCAAGAATAAATTAGCTAAAATTTCATTTTTCTTTCTGTACTAAAATTCATCTGATACAAGACTCAAGAGCTACTCAAGGTAGAGGGTTACTTTTAATGTAGTAATAATGAATGATGTGTGTGATATGAATAAACAAGGCTTAGCAAGAACTTGAATATGATTCTTCAACTCTAAGTATACATATTTTCATAAAATGTAAAAAAAAAAAATCATTTCTTTTCTTAGAAAACTCTATAATAAATTAGCCAAAATATTATTTTTTATACAAAAATTCTTCCAACACAAAAGCCACTCAAGATAGAGTGTTACTCTTAAAATGGTAATGATGAATGATATGTATGATGTAAATGAAAGAGGTAGGAGGAATTGCAAATTATGAAGATAAGGAGGATAGATAATGATCCTTGACTAGAACTGGTCAGGGAAGTATTCATGTAGGAGTTATCCTTGGGTATGGGAGAGTAGTTTGCCTAAGTGCTTTTCAGATATATTTTGATTGAACAGAATGCAAAAAGAAGAGAATCCATAATTTTCCAAAAGAACATTAGTATGAAATGATCCTAACAGTGAAAATTTGAGTGTGGTTTCTTAATTTAAAGCCAGAAAATATTTTTACATTGTAATAATTTTTTTTTTTTGATGAGGGAGATAATAGTAATTTAGTGATACAAACCTTACTAATTAACCCATACAGGAAAGAAGAGGTGGATTCATACCTTTCCCAAAGGTATTTGCACATAAATGAATATAACAAACCCAACTAGAAATAGAACTTGGCTCTCCAATTAACAATTCCCAGCCATTATCCATTATATCACCTGCACATCCAAACTTACTGCACCAAGTATTCCTAAGTGATCATCCATCTGCGTACTGATGAGGCTTGATGTTGCTTGACTTTGGTGATCATATGAGAACCGATGTTTCAACATGATGTAGCTGTAAGCCTAAAACGGTTATGATAGTTGTATGTGATATAAATGAATAAGATAATGGTCAGAGGTGAAGATTGTAAGGATTAGAAGGATAGATAGATAATGATTAATCCTTGGTATGAAGAGATTAAGATTAGGGTTTGGGGAAACAATCATGCAAGAGTCTGTTCCACAAAGTAACAGTTCTTGGGGAAAAAGTTTCTTTAGTGAAATTTTCTTCTTACATTTGGAATACAGAGGAAATGGGAGTGATTCAACTCCAGGGATGTGGCATGATGTTTCCAAGTTGTAAAGGCCTGAACTGGTGGAACTAAAGAATAGAACATTTGTCATGAAAATAGTGAAAGGCTTATGATGTTGCAACTGTGAGAAAGAGGTTGATGGATTTTGTTTAGCAGCATATCAACCTCTACGGGTTACTTAATTTTAAAAATCTAAATATTTTGAACATAATTTTATAGCTTCAACTAAATGCAATTGTATGCCTTCAACTACAGTACTGTTGGTCATTTTACTATAACTAGGTATTGTTGGTCATTTTTTTCATATAAAAATATATTGCTGGTATTTTTACTATAAAATGTATTTTTATACTTTCATTGTGTTTTGTTTTTGTTTCAGGGTTCACTATTTGACCATAGCTGGGTTCCTAACAGGTGGTGCCACCCTGGATCAGAGTGGACCTGAGAACAACAGCAATTAGGAGGTGGTTCCATGCTCCTCAAAACCTCTAATCTCCCGACCAGAGGCCTTGTTGTCGGATATAGTTTATCATCATAATAATCAGTGAGAAATGGGTTAAATGGAAAATAAGTTTCCCTCCTACCAGAATGGATAATGATTTTGAAATTAAGTCTGAAAAGGATGGATCAGTTCCAGCCTAGATAAGACAGCAATACTCCATTTCTGATTTAATCTAACTCTTGAAAAGATAAAGCATGGCAGAAAGAGTCAGTTACTTCCTGGAGCGATAGAATGAGTTGACCAATAAAATGAAAGCAATTCCAAGGATTAGATTAATAATCTGAACAAATGTTGGTTGGGATGGAAGAATAGATAAGTGTTTTATTGTTGGATATAAGCAGGTGTTGTAACTGAAAAATTATTGGCTTGTTCCTAGTGATAGGCTTGCAATGTTGCATTTGTGGAAAAGCAGCAGCATAATGGAAAGTAAGTCTTCTCTTACAAGAAATGTGGTTCTACAGAAGGATACTGAGAATCCCATGGACTGGTTATGCAAGTAACAAGGAAATTTTAGGGAAAATGGTAACAGAATGGACACTTATACTTAGAATCAGAAAGAGGGGATTAAAGGATGCATAATAAGGAAAAAGAGCTTGGAGAATTTGACACACACAGGACACATTGAAGACAAGGAAGATAGAGAAAAGCAGTGAATAACTTACCTAGTAAGCTTAAGGAAATGATTGGCAGAAAGGGATTAGGAAAGATAGCAAAAAGACAAGCCTTACTAAGAGCTACAAAGAATTCACAAATTAGTTCTTAAAAAAAAAAAAACGGAAAAAATGCTGTCCAAGTGGAACTTCTGCCTTACACTTGGAATAGAGAGAAAATGAGGGTGATTTTACTGTGGACATAGTATGCATGTACAAAATGTAAAGGTCTGAACTGGTCTAACCAAAGAATGGAACTTATCCAAACATTTGCAATAGAAATAGCAATAGCAATGTTACATTTGTAGGAAAGAGGCTCCAAAATAAAGAATATGTTTTCATCCACAAGACCATATAAATGAATTCTAAACTCTATCAAGGTTGGAAAGTGAGGATGAACAGCTCCTGATTTTTGGTAATATAACTGATCCTGACTTGGCATCTCTTTCACTTCTGTATATTAGTGGCATTCCCACCTTACTTGGGGTGAAGTGGGGTGATAGAATAAGTTGACTATTAAAACAAAAGCAAATTCAAGATTTAGATCAATCATTGGTTGCAGGAGTAATGTTTAAATTTTTTATTGCGGCATATAAACATGGAATCTAACTGAAAATTATTGGGTTGTTCTTAATAAAAGAAAAACTCTAAATCCTTTCATTTCAAGAAAAAGACACTCAAGTTAAGACAACAATCAACAAAATCTACTTTAATTTCTGGCTGAATTTCTGGTATAAGTTCTTATTTATATTATTTACATGCTGGTCATTGTTTAAGGCTCCAGATTCTCCACTCAGGATTGTCCCATGGGACAATAGTCTAGTACAGTGTTTCTCAATCTTTTAAGCAACAGCACATTTAGGTACAAATAAATATATCATGGCACACTTAGAAAAATTTTTAAAGTGTATACATATAAATGTTATAAAATAAAACCATAGATTAAAAAAAAATTGCTCAGTACGAAATAAAAACTAAAGGGTCAGTGGAACAAGAACAATCTACCCCCACAGATTAAATAAAGTGTACAGTTAAAAATTCCCTCAAGGTTACCTGGATCAATAAGCACCTGAGAGCACAATGGCCAAAACATGATAATAACAACAAAGATGAGGACAATAGTCTGCATGTAAATAAAATTTAGTACTTAAAAAAATTGAAAATATTTTACAATATCTTTCAATTTCAGTAGGCTTAAGTTTATATATATATATATATATATATATATATATATGTTTAATATAGGATAAAGAATCCTGACAAAGTTTTCAAGAAATTTGATAAATAGAAAACAATTCTTATGATGAAAGAAAACAACTTTTACTTTCAACCCATTTTGAAAGATTGGATGAGGATTTACCTTTAATTTGTTACAAAAAAATTGGGAAAAATATATTAAGAACTTTTGACATGAACTAAGAAATATAAAGAAAAGATACAGAATAAATATTAATGTTTTTTTTTTTAAAGTCACTCATTTTTAAGATTTCTTCTTTAATCACAAGAAATGCCAGTTTAGGGAAAAAGTACTATGATTCATTATTTAAGCATGCACACAAATATACACACACACACACACATATTTCTTTCTTTCGTTTTTGGATCTGATGAAGCCTAGAAAGTTGAAATGTGTAATCAA